GGACCAAAAATGATGAATTTTACAACTTATTGTATCAGGTTTGATGTCTGCCAAATTAGTGGACCATTTCTGGAAAATGGCCAATATAATGGACCAAAAATGAAATTTTGCTTCACATATCATGCATATCCAGCTATATTATTATGACTCAGTCGCTCAGGTGCTTTGTAAACAAGGAAATTAGAAAGAACAAAATACTTCTTATATATACTATAAATGTTACGGTCCCGTTACGGAACCATTCCGTTGGGGTTTGTAACCTTTAGATCATCATATATAACCGTCGAGATAGTTGATCTAACGGTTACAAACTCCAATAGAATGGTTCAGTAACAAGACCGTAGTATATATATATATACATCCAACATAATTAAACAAGGTTTCATGCACATTTATTAATTAATGCCTTGGTGTTTGCATAAAATATTTTCTCTCTCTCTCTCTCTCTTTGTTCATTTTTGGAGCACATTTTTGTGTTTTTAAATGCACCTGCAAATTAATGCATTAAACGTGACGAGCTGCGGATAAATATAAAAGCACAAATATAAATACAAGTCCACACACATTTGACAAAACTGATTGATAATTACAAGTCTTGCTAGAGATAAATATATGAAAAAGATGTAGAGACAGATGAGTGTAACATATAATATTTGTTAGGGAAATGCTATGTACGGTCCCGTTACGAAATCATTCCATCGAGATTTGTAATCGTTAGATTATCATGTAACCGACGGAGATAGTTGATAACTTGATATATCTAACGGTTACAAACCCCGACAGAATAGTTCCGTAACGGGACCGTAGCACCTCCCGGGATATTATTTATATATATTTTTGTAATTAAATAGATTGGCTTGCATGGATATTAGAGTTGAAACACTTGAAAGACAGATTTCATCACTTTGGTTTGATTTAATGTAAGAGAATAGAATGTTCACTGAATTATAATAATTCAAACAAGCAAAAAAATTAACGCGCAAAATGGGAGAAAAATAGGCATCTCCCGTGTTCATAAATTTTGAAAAGAGCCTCAGATTCTAATTAAAAAGCAATATATATATTGAGAAAATTCAACTATAACACAGATGGATAAAGAAAAGCTGTTAACCATATAAATCAAGAAACATGCTCATGTTAGTCTACAGAAAAAATTTATTATATATATATAATAGAATCAAAGTAAAAAAAAAAATGATATTATTTGGTCATGGAATTTCAAAATAGAATAAATTCAACTTATGCATCGTAATTTGAAATTAGAAAAAAAAATTAAAATAAAATAAAAATCAAACACAATCCCATTATTTCCTGCTCTTTTTCGTCATCTTTCTCTAACACTCTTCTTTCTTTCTTTCTTTCTACCTCGTGCTCAGGTATTACAACTGTAGCACACAACCGCTATTAAAAATACCATAACCATCGAAACAAAGTCAAAAAAGGGTCTGGACCATAATCACCACCTCAATTTTCTTTTTTTTTTTTTTTTTCTAATGTGATGTGATCATGATGGTGGTGGTGGGAAGAACTGCGTACCCGCGATGAAGCTGTTGATCGGAGCCGGATAAAGGGACTGGTCAATAAAAGGCGATGTGTTCCCAGCGGAAGCCGCCGGGGGTGCGCCGGCTATGAGGCTGAGTTGTTGGGCGCCGCCGGCGCTGACGCTGCCGCCGCCGGAGGAGGTGTCTCCGGCTGCCATGTACTGGCTCTCGGTGCCCTGGTCGTAGAGGATGCCTTTGAAGACGTGGCCACAGATGTTGACTGCCGTTTGGTACGCAAACTGGTCTTCTCCGTCGTCTACGGAGCTCACCCTCACGCACCGGAAAACGGCTTCCGAGCTCACCTCCGGCGGCAACTGCCCAAGCTCCAGCCCTAATTAATCACGCACAAGAAAATTATAATTATAATTTTTGTTGTTAGAGATATAGAAAACAAATTAAATTGGATGAGATTGATTGCCCTGCTTTTTTTTTTTTT